TTTTTAAATATTATCTCGAACTTTGAACATAAGATGAATCTCTGCCAAAAATATGTTAAAATATTTTCACATCCTTTACACATGGAAATTTTATTCATTTAAAACTCAATTCGTCTATTCATATATTTCGTTTTTGTACCAAATCAATAATTAAGATTGGTCTAAATAAAAAAAAATAAAAATCGTAAAAAGGTAAATAAATAAACACAATAATAAACAAACAAAACGTTCTAAAATTTAACTCGTGTCTGAGTAAACATGTAAACAATTCAATAAATCCTTAATAATTAACAATTATTGTTAAATACTTTGGTTATAAATTAAATTATTTTTATTGAAATTGTTTAAAAAAAGGCACGTGCGGTAAGTTTTATATTAGGTATGTTATTTAATATAGATTGAATAACCCGCATGTCAAATTTTTATGTCTAAATCGATATGCATCCCTTGAAAATGGACTAATAACCGTTTAAATTTGATATAGAAGCAGTTTTTTCACAGTGAAAGATTGCTTTGATATTTTCTTTGTATTTTTTGACACTGTCAAATTGACAGTAATATTTATTATTGATAATTTACTTGTTAATTATTATATGGGTGATTCTACAAAAGTTGGGCAACTTTTAACCTCATTTTGTTTATATAGTTTTCGGAGAAAATTAAACAGTCTTCTGTTATGAGAACATAGATAATATAATAAATATACTGTTCCAGACCGGGCCAGTCACTTTTTCAAACAGTTTCTGAAATATATGTGTTTTCTAAATTTGAATGCAAGGGAAGTGACGAGTATACCAGGGTACTAATTAAATACATAATTTATTGGAAAATATAAGAATTATTGCAACTTTGAGCATATTATACATTAAATATCTTAAAATCAAATAATACCACACATCAGTGGCGGCTGGTGGATTTTGGGTATACCGATATCTCAATTATTGGATATGGGACCCACACCAAATTTATATGAGTTTATAATGACATTAAATAAACAAGTTCTGCGCAAGCAGAATTTAAATTAAAGTTTGCGAAAAAAGATAACCGAAACATCGAACATGGAACTGACGACACGGTACTGATGAATGGGATACAAATTTGAGATTATAATTCGGAATTAAGTATTTTACTGATATTTTTTATTAGTGGATGCTACTTATCAACAAATCACACATAGCCTTGTATAAATTACAATGAAATATATATACGTAAGAAAATAACTACTCACCACAGTACTGAAATTTTGACTGGAACTATACGTGCATTCACCACAACTTCGCCGCTTGCATTGTTTTCAAGATGACTGTCGTGCAAAGGGCGGGCTCTGTAGGTAATTTTTTTACCAACACTTAAGTTAAAACGAGGACTTGACGTTTAAACTTCAATATTTCGCGGGAATTTTGAATTTTAACATTGGACACAGAACTGACGGGTAAAAGTGAGTAGGTACAAAGATTATCAATTTTTTAAAAATTGCTATTATTCGAATCTATGATAAAATATGAAAAATACATTATTTAATGTTTTATAGTTTGTAGTGAAATTAAAATTTTTAGATTAATTGAATATATTTTAAAATAAATTACTCAAATATTTGATTCAGGAGGATAATTTCTTTTATATAAATTTTTTTCAAAGCGAAGATTATTATCCGCTAGAAATACTTTGTCTTCCTGGCCCGTAGTCACCCATATTTAACTACTTTTTTTATATGATTAAGTCAATCAGCTGATACTCACGCATCAGGTAGTAACTAGCTAATCCTCATTCAATAGGTTACATCGAGTGCAACCTAAAAATACTGAAGCCACTACACCAGAGTGTGATCGAAAACAAAAATGTAATTTTAGACCTCGTACGTCATTTTTTTACATTCAGTAGCATATTCGCTTTAGTCTGAATTTTGGTTTCGTCTAGTAGTATATACTACAAAAACGGTTTTTAAAAGTTACCGTAAAAATTATACCGGTGGTTGTATTGTTTTACTTATCAGTGACATCATTGGTTGATTTATTGTGTTTTTATAGTTTTTTCAACAATGTTTACCGTGCCTGTGTATGCTAGCTCACACAGTGATGCTTCTTATATAGAGAAAAAAACTGTAAGTGTTAATTAAAATATACCACATTCAGGGACTACTTCATTAATATTTGAAAGATATATTAATTAAATAATTAATTAAATATTCTATGTTTCTCTTTAATATAACTTTTACGAATCTATTAATAAAAAGGAAACAGATTTAAAACCTTCAAATCAAAATTTTCCTTGTTTTTGACCCAGCCTTCGTTTTGTTTACAATCTTTATATTTTTAACTTTAACATGTCTGTTGTATTTGTGTGTTCTTTGAAATAACATGTGTTTATTTTACTCCGAAAATTTCTTGTAAAAGTAAAAAAATTGTTAGTGGAATGTTTGGTAAACAAATATAGCCGGGAGACATTTTATTTAAAAGAAGTAAGAAATACATTTATATATTTAAAATTATATTATTTATTTTGATAAAAAAAATTGAGGATGATCTTTTAGGTATCAAATATGAAAATCCGTTGCCGTTTAATTAGAAATCTGAAATCGTGTCAATTTCTTACTCTCTTATAGTGGGCCAGAACTTTTTTTCTGTGACAAATATTGAAATGATTTTAATTTTGTTTTACTGTTCAGTAAGTGTGTTTTCGATATAAATTATTATTGTCCAATTAGTTAATCTCATAAAAGAATGGTAAACCACTAAAGATAAAATAATTTTCCAATTTTTGTGATTTTTGTCTATCTCCTGTGCCTATTCTACTAAATCTAGAAAGTTATGTTTTTTCAGGTATCAAGTACAACAGAAAACGTAACTATTATTTTAAGTTTCTAGACTATCATTTTCTTTATTAAAAAAATTATTGAAACTTGATAATTCCTAAAATTAGTCAATTTTGCCCTCAGAAATCATTATCTTGAGGAAAAAATAAAAATCTGAAACTTTCAGGAAATGTAGTCCCCACCTTCATCTTTTCAGTGCAGTTAGTCTTGTTTTGTTATTTTTATTCCTTTAAAAGATATATTAATTTTTTTAATGCCCGTTTAGTAGCGATATTGTTAGTTTTATTTATAATTTAAAATTTAGATGGCTTTTATGTTTGGTGGAGAAGTGTCAGAACTGTCAAAAATATTTCATAAATATTATTTGTGCGTATTTCTTTGGTAAATTTTGTATATAACATAATATGTTATACAAAACTTTTTAAAATCACCAAAGGAATACACAAATAATAATTATGAAATATTTTTGACAGTTCTGATATATTTGGTAGTTATGTTATATTTTATGTATTGTATAATCATATGTATATATATGATTATATATTATATACATTATAATGAAGTATTTAATTGGTGTTTAAAGAAGAAGAATGTAAAAAATATATTCAAGATCCTTATGGTTTATATTGTAAAGTATAATAAGTGAAATTAATAAAGAGTTAATTTAAACGTATAAAAATGCGTTAAGCAGTTTTTTGTCGGTTTCTTTCACAATTTAAACCAAGTTAGTCTTGTTCTATTATTTTGATCCCTTTAGTAAGGCACTGAATAGTTAAAAGTTATATGTATGTATTTTAAATGTTAGAGTTGGAAAAAAATTTACACAATCTGTAAATACTTCTTTAAATTTTAGTTTTTAGGTAACTGGTTAAAATAAAACATGTTATAATAAAGGGGTTTATTTAGAATATTTTTTGGTTTTTGCTTATTTTTAACAATTTAAAACTTCTCAGAACTTGAATATTTTCTATGAGAAAGAGGTACAAAATAATGTGATAATATCATGTTCTTGCATTTTTAATTGCAATTAAATTCATGAATGCAAACTTGCAAACTTTTTGAAATAACAATTTAAATGCGCACAAATAATATTTATGAAATATTTTTGACAGTTCTGACATTTCTCCACCAAACATGTATTGTCTAAGTCAAAGCCATCTAAATTTTAAATTATAAATAAAACTAACAATATCGCTTCTTAACTGCATTAAAAAAATTATTATATCTTTTACATGGATAAAAATAACAAAACAAGACTAACTAGACTAAAAAGATGAAGGTGGGGACTACATTTCCTGAAAGTTTCAGATTTGTATTTTTTCCTCAACATAATGATTTCTGAGGGCGAAATTGGCTAATTTTGAAAGTTATCAAGTTTCAATAATTTTTTTAATAAAGAAAATGATAGTCTAGAAACTTAAAATAATAGTTACGTTTTCTATTGTATAACTACTTGCAACTTTCTAGATTTAGCAGAATAGGCACAGGAGCCAGACAAAAATTACAAAAATTTGCAAATTATTACAAATCTTTAGTGGTTTACCATTCTTTTATGAGATGAACTAATTAGATAATAATAATTAATATTGAAAACATACTTACTAGGCAGTAAAATAAAATTACAATCATTTCAATAATTGCCACAGAAAAAAAGTTTTAGCCTCTTATAAGAGAGTAAGAAATTGACACGATTTCAGGTTTCTAAAGGGTGCCGATTAAAAATAAAGCAACTAAAAATTAAAACGGCAACTGTTTTTCATATATGATACCTAAAAGATCATCCTCATATGTAAAATGTAAATCATATTTATGGTATTAGTGTTAGTATAAAAAACTTGCGCAAAATTTATTAGTGCTCATAGAATTTTCGGATATGCTTGCTTACAAATTTATAAATTATTGCCTGGCATTGAAATGTTTTTAATACGCACTTAACATAAAATTAATGTGTTTATAAAAAAGTGAAAATATTTTTTATGTATTAGACAACTGTTAGATAATAGTTGCCCTTGAAAATATATATAATTTTTTGCTGTTTATATTTGTAACGCTTCAATAAATAAGATCGTAAAAATGTATATAGTACATTCGGGTAATACGGCAACCCAACTGCGCCATATTACCAATTTTACCTTACACATATAAAAATTAGTTTGTTTTTGTTATTTTTGTTCTACTTTCGTTTCAGGTGACAGATTTGTATAAACAAATGAAGGATCAAAATCACACCGCGCCTTCTAGATCACTAAGCAGTGCTGCCAACTTGACTTCCCTATGTGTTGACATATCACCTAGTTCTAGTAACTTCTTTGAAGTAAGTTAACATTTTTACATTTTTATTTACACCTACATTGAAAACTACATTAAATTTTGAAAAAGTGAGGTTAAAATTGTCTTATAGATTACTATTTTAGGTTTTGTACATCGGTAAAATAAAAGTGTGGCAGAAAAAAGTGCCGGATACTTTTATAGACGATGCCCTGGAAAAATTTAAAGTCCATGAGATGGAAAAAACGCAAAACAAACTGAGACATATAGAAAAAATAAAAAATGAGAACGGACACAGACGAGCATCAACGGTGAGTTTTTTAAAATACTTCAACTCAGAGAGCCAAATCAGTTTTAAACTTGGCCAAGAATTGCCCTTTCACCTATACGAGGTGTGTTCAGAAAATATCGGGAATTTTCGTTTTTTGAAACAAATATTTATTTATTCGTCTACATTAATGTTGTCGCCTTCAAAATAGTCCCCATTGGATATTATGCACATGTGCCAGCTCTTCTTCCAATACTCGAAACACTTCTAAAACTCGATCTTTGGGATAGCCTTTAGTTCTTTCAGCGATGCGCTTTTAATGTCATCTATGCTTGCAAAACGACGGCCCTTTAAGGTTCTCTTTATTTTTGGGAATAGGAAAAAGTCAGACAGAGGCATGTCTGGCGAATATGGAGGCTGGGGCATCATTACAGTATTGTTTTTGGCCAAAAATGTTGTTCAAAATTTAACAATTTTAGAACAAATTTTGCTGCCACGCGTTTCATACCCAAAACATTCGAAAAAATTTCATGGGATGAGCCAATCGATATACCAACATCATCAGAGACTTCTCTGATGGTTTATAACCATTTCTTCCACTTTTTCCATGTTTTTATCGGTTGTTAATGTGCTTGTGCGTTCGGGGCGTTCGTCATCTTCAACGTCTTCACGGCCATCTTGGAAACTCTTATACCACTTGTAAACTCTTGTTTTACTTATAGCAGACTCACTATAGGCCTTTGTTAACATTTCACAGAATTTATTTCATTTTTTAAGCAAAATTGGATACAAATTCTTTGATCCATTTCTTTTAACTAACGAAAAATCGCCGAGCTCATAAAACACGTCTAACCTTAGCGGCTGCCACAGACAAAGTAAACAATGAAAACAGATAAACTTTTTATCAAACTTCGATTTTGTCTAAAACATATTTTCTTCCTGATTGAATAAATAAATTCAGCTGGGTAATGAGTACGTCCGAACATCATTTGTTAATCACGTGAGTGCCAAAAAAGTTGCCATATATATGTTTTTTTAAATATTCTATCGGTAACGCGACGGACGTAACGCAGCGGAAAAAGTTGGGACATGAGTCAAATTTAAAAAAAGTATATTAAAATTAATTAATTTATATATAAATTGTTTACTGTATTAACTAAGGATGTTATGGTTATTCAATATTTAAAAAAAAAACATGTACCTATGTAAGTTTTATAAAACGCTAATGGGACATGCGAAAATGTGTTTCACAAGCTTCAAAATTAAAAAAAAATTATTCTGAAATAACTAATCAAAAATTTTCTGAAAGAGTTTACTAAGGGCTTGTTAGGCTTTCACTTGGTTTTTAAATCAATAAGATCCGATAATTTTTAACAAAGTTATTGGAATTCAAACTCACGGACAGCGGAAGGCGGGTGTTTTTTGAAAACAACCCAAATAAATTTAAAAAATAAAACCGAGTATTTTTTATTACCCCCTGTCAGAGCTGCAACAAGTCAGTTTTAAAAAGACTTAAATCTTAAGTCTTAAGTCAATTCTAAAATCAAAATGATTTAAATCTTAAGTCAATTCCAAGATAAAGTTCAAATGATTTAAGTATTAAGTCTTTGAATTAAATCATTTTCTTTCAAGTCAAGTCATTTTCGCAAATTCTTAAATCAATATAAAGTGATTTAAGTCATCTTATGACTTAATTCCTTTAGTAAGTCGTTTTTATGACTTAAGTCTATATTTTTTATTTAAATCGTTATCTATCAATCAATCAATCAATAAAATGACTTGAATCAAAAATTGTGATTTAAATTAAAATAATTACAGTCAATACAACGATTTTTTAAATGTTAATAATAATTTTATGGTATTAATGATACTGATATTATTAATCTATTCTAGATACAGATGATAATAAACCACTATGTTAAGAATTTAAAACGATTTATTTTCACTTACAAACAAAATTTTGTTTTATTAATAAAAACACATTTTTTGAGATTATATTAGACAATCAAAATAAAAAAATAAACCACTTTTTTAGTAGAATAGACATACAGGGAGGCTACTTTTTTATATACATAAATGGGTAACTTCTCAACGGTAATAGATTCAAACTCTGTTAAAATAGATAAAAGTTGAAGCATTTTTCTTAAAATCGCTGTATTTCAAAAACTGATAACTTGGTGTTTTGTTAACTTTTGTTAGCTGGTTCAACATCCATCTAGAAAAAAAATATTCCTCCCTTAAGGGAGTAATGATGGGAGGTTCCAAACTCTCGATTCACGACCGCTCAAGATTTACGACTGCTGACTACCGCTCACGACTACTCCCGATTCACGATTGTTCACGATTTTCGACCACTCACGACTGTAATAATTTAAGACTACTCACGTTCACGCACAATCACGTTTGAATAATTTTATTCACGCACAATCACGTTTTTTTGTCGTAATTATTTACTTAAACAAACCGAAACACCCTGTATGATATAAACACGTCTTTATAATATTTATTCGTCCTGTTAATCGTTTGTTAGTGTTAGCAAACAAAATAACAAAATTATAAATCCCCACTTTTTTTTCATAAATTTTAGACACTTTTTAATGTAGCCGTCAAACGGTTCCGAAAAGCTAACTTTACCGCGGCGGTTTTTTTATTCACTAGCCGTAGCAATTGTAAAAATTTACAAAAAATATATGAAAAATCTGACTTAAATATTTTCTAAAAAGACTTAAATCTTTTTCAAAAAGACTTAAATCTTTTTAAATTATTTAAATAATTTGCCGACTTTTATAAAGACTTAATTCTTTTTTGACTTAAATCGTTTCTATCTGACTTAAATCGTATGTACTGATTTAAGCCTGACTTAAGTTTTTTCTATTTTGAAAAAATATTTAAGTCTCAAATCATTTTGAAAATTACTTAAATTTTAAGTCTTAAGTCAGTTTTAGAGAAATGACTTATTACCAAATGACTTCAGTCATTAAAACGATTTAAATCAAAAAAACGATTTAAGTTTTCTGAGAGCTTGCAGCTCTGCCCCCTGTTCCCCCTATAAGGAGGAAAGTATGAGGACCAATTTTAGTACTGATTGATTTCCCCCTTGAATGATTTACACACAAGCACTTTTGTACGTCTTTTGTAGAGAAGGTCTTGAAATATTAATTTACTTTTTACTCGCTATTGCGCATGGTAAACTGATTAGTTTTCCATGCTGATCAATTATTTGCCAAGTTTCGATCAAAAATCGAAAATTGTTCAGTGAAGATTAAAAAAAAAATTGTAGGATTCCACAACCAGTGAAAACAGTTCAATGGAGGGCGTGAGTTTGTGTCCCCAAAGGATAACTCCCCCCGTGTTGAGGGCAAAATCAATGGACCAAATAAAAGTATCGGAAAATAATTCGAACATAACCGAAACAATAGAAGAACAACAAGGCGAAACAATTGAAGAGCCCGGCGACAAAATGTACGTGAAAGAACTAAAAACGCCAGAATTCGAGGACCATAACAGAACGATGGTCTTACAAGTGGACAGGACCGACTTAAGGCTCATAAGCCCCGATAGAAAAGTAATTTTGTTGCACAAACAACACAGAGATGTCGCTACGTGCGCGCAGGTGAGTTACGCGCATGCGCGACGTTTAAAACTATTGAAAATGTGTTTTTTGTAGGGTCAGTTACAATCAGAACACTTTGGGTTCATTTGCCGTGAAGGAACAGCAACACAAACTTTCACGGGGTATATTTTTAAATGCGAATCTCAATCCATAGCTAATGATGCCGTTCAAGGTAAGTTAAAAAACAATAACCTAACTTTGTTGTCACGTTAAATGACAACGTTGTTACCTATAAAAACCCTTGGGATATACGTATTATAAAACATTGAAAATACGTGGAATTATTGTATTATAAAAGTTGGATTTTTGAATAATTTAGGATTTTACACTGCCAAAATTAATGGAAAAATGCAAACATATTTTACAAAACACAAATACACTTTTGAAAAGAAAAAATATTTTTAAAATACAAGATACTACAACTTTTAAATCAATAGGAGTAAAAATCTAAAAAATCTTATTTAAATAATAACTAAACAAATTTAAATATAACATAGCCTAAATAAAAAAATTACAATTCAAAAAGAAATATTGCATATTTACAATTATTACAATTTTTCTAAATAAAAAATTATACAAATTATAATTTACTTAAGAAAAAATAAATTCTAAAAGATATTTAAGTAGTTACTTAGTTAAAATATAACAAGTCTAAATAAAAAATTAACAATAAAGTTGGTTTGGGTTCTAAATTTATTTAAAAAAAATGTGAGGATTTTTGCTTTTGAATAAAAATGTTCTGCACAAGCTGTAAAATGTGGACTTCTTTATGCTATTTTATATATTTTGCCAAAATTCTATAAAACTTACAATAATTTTAAGTAGCTAAATGTGGGTTTTGGAAACGTTGTTACAACTTTTCAAGCAATACAATTCTCCAACGTAGTTTGAAAGTGGGTTTTTTTATTTCTGTCGTATTTTTGATACCTACTATGACTTTAAAAATTTATTGCAGACTTTTATTTTACATTTATAACTAATGTTATAAAAGATACAAATGTTAAAAAAATTCCACAATAAAAATTTTTAGTTGGAACTTTTAAAATAGTGTTTTTAGCATGTCAAAATAACGAGGAAAGAATAAATTGACTAAAAACTAAAATAACTACAAGCTAAAATACCGACTATGACTACAAGCCAGAAGAATGATAGGCTAAAATGACTACAAGAGTTTAAAATGACTAAAGTACAAAAAACTACAAGCCAATAAATAAAAGATAAAACGACCACTGACTAAAAGAAATACAAGCTAGCTACAAAATAATATAAACAAGTTAAAATGACTAAAAGCTACAATGACTACAAATTAAAATTTATACAAGCTAAATTAACTACAAAATAATAATTACAGGCTTAAAAAATCACAATAGAAATAGAAAACTAAAAGAACGACCTCTTAAAATGACTGATCAAAAACAAGTACTAGTTAATAAAATTTAATATTTAATATAAGATATAACGTTAAGTACGTATTTTCCACTTAAAATCATACATTCAAATAACGTTTTCATCCAACGTATTTCCCACTTAAAGAACGTTATGAGTATAACAAATTATTTATACAAATTTGCAACGTTTTTTGAATGTAGGTAAACGTTAATTTCTACCAGGGTATCTGCTAATACATATTTATATGTTTTAGCCATCACCCAGGCCTTTTTGAACGCTGAAACTAAACCACGTCTAAATCTGACGTCATGCGATCATTGTCCAATGGTGTGGTTTCATAAACTATGCACTGAAATCGAACATTTGTCTGATAGAAAAACGCAAGCTGCAATTTTCAGGAGGTAAATTTGGTGTCCGTAAGTATCGTTTTTAGTACATCTCTTCCCATTTCAGATTAGAACAATTAGATGAGGAGGAACAAACCACAATTCTGACGAAATTCAGAGGAGCCGAAACTGATTCTCTAAGGGAGCAAAATGAGTTTTTGATGATGCTACTTAGAGCTCATTGTGAGAGCAAACAAGGAAGGCATATACACGATACCATGGAAAATAGGTAAGAAAAAAAAATTCGCTGGAAAAACCTTTCATTGTTATTTCAGATCCGAATTTTTGAACCAATATTTGGGAGGCTCAACAATTTTCACAAAGGCCAAAAGATCTTTAACAAACTCCTTTGAAATGTTGAAAAGAAAGGCCTCAAAAGACGATTTCGGACCAGCCTTGAAAGAACTTAATTTGACCATCAACAAAAACTTCAATAAGGTAAGAAGTTTTAGCATTTATTGGATAAAAGATTAAAGATTAAAGTTCAGCACTTAAATTATGTTTTAACAAAAAGTTATAAAGTTATATTTTTCTAAACTCAAAACAATTGATAGTCAAAAAATATTTTAAATATAAAATGCAACAGTAAAAATGTATGTTTAAAACTATTGATTTTTTAAAGTTTTGGTTGTAATATTTTATGCCACAAAATTATTGGTTTAAATTTTTAAAGAGTCATTTAATTGATAGTTGATTAATTTTTAATGCAAAAATTCTCACATTAAATTAGATGTAATTAAACCAATATTTTTTATTTTTAACAATTTTAAAGTGATATATTTTTAAGACAAAATTTATAACGTTACATTTAAATGTAAGTCGATAATTTTTAAATTACAAAGTGTAAACGTGGCTTTAGTAGAAGGCACAAGAGTCTGGGATCGGAGCCACGATGCAGCCAGTTTGATCCGTTGATGTTTTTTAATTTTCGAATTAACTTGGTACAATAGGCACTAAAAATGTTGTTGTTCTATTATTAAATTTATGTAATAAAGAAACATTTCACTACGATAATTTGTAAAACGCGTCAAATATTTATGGAGCAAGCACGATTTGGCAACACTGTGCCTTCTACTAAAGCTACGTTTACACTTTGTAATTTAAAAATTATCGACTTACATTTAAATGTAATGTTCAAATTTTTGTATTGAAAATTTATCGACTATCATTTAAATGACTCTTTACAAATTCAAACCAATAATTTTGAAGAATAAAATATTAAAATTCCATTTTTTTTAAATTAATATGTTTAAACTTAAACTTTTACAGTTGCATTTTATATTTAAAATATTTTTTGATTATCAATAGTTTTGAGTTTCCAAAAATTTAACTTTTTAAACTATTTTGGTAGAAAATTTTTTATATGCGTTTTTATTTTAAATGGCTTGATACTATTTTTAAATACTAAAAAATTTAACTTTAGCAAATTAATCTCAATAATTTTATAAAATGTTTATTTAATTATTATTTTTATTAAAAAATGATAGTTAGAAATTTTTGCAAAAATTGATAGAAAATAATATTGTTTAATACTTCTGTGAACTGTTGGTTAGTAAATTTTGTCTTTCAATACATGATAGTTGAAAATATTATAAATTTATAAATGTAAACCTAAAATTTTTAGTTAGGAAAATTTTAAACCAATAAAGTTTTAAATTAAAAAATTATTTAATAAATGTTAAAACGGCGTGCCATATGATGATGAAAAATGCATTTTCTGGTAACATTACTTTCAGGAAACATCGCCCATGGATACATCCGACAGAGATTCAGAAGGAATGAGGTCTAGATCCTCAACAATAGGTTCTGAAAGTGACCTCAACAGTCCCCATTTAAACGTAAACAAAGACAACCAAAAGGGTTCAATATCCCCGGATAGAAATGCTTCTGCGCAAGACAAACAGTTGAAAAGTCCCATGATGGATATGTAAGTGAAATTTGCCAGAATTTAATATATTTTTTTAACCTTGTTTCTACATCTAAATTCATCCAAATGGTTACTATAAAGTAATAAACATTTAAGTAAAACTTGGTTGCCCCCAAGAAGACTTTGCAACTTTAAAAAAGGTGTTATAAGTAAAAAAAACTTTCAAGTAAATTTAATTTGTAGCAGTTACTTTCGGTTGCTACCTAAAGATTACATCATAATTATTTTTACTTTGCAGTCCCTTTGCAAGTTAAAATCTCGAAACTGGAACATGAGTTAAAAACTACAAAGTTAATAACTTAAAAGTTATTATTTTAGTATTTGGAACGTTTATGGTACTAACCAAAACTACCGTAAAGTAAATTTTTTCTGACCTAAACTTTTTATGGTTTTATTCAAGGCGTTTTGTAATATTAAACATTTCTGTGAAATCAGAATTTCAATTGAGTTTACCGTTTTCGAGATATTTACAAAAAATATAAATTTTTATGACGTCACAAACCTCGCCATGTGACCAACATTCTAAGATTTCTATTGGTTGAAAATTACCCTGTTGTCAAGTTGTCTTGTTAATGATTTCATTCGGTTATGTCAGAAAATACCCGAAGAGGTTATGTACAAATACTGTCACTGACAGTCAAATTCATTAAGTACCTATCTTCCTTATTACGAGGTATCATATTAATGTTTGATATTTTAGAGTCCAAGATATATCTAAAAGAATATAAAGAACTAGGCATTATACTAATGAAATGCATTTACGACAAAATATGATTATAATTAAAGGTACTTACTTTATTTGTTTAAAAGCTCCAATGTTCAATGTAACCAACCATTCCACAAGATTCCTCTGCTTTGGAGTCCGTTATTAATAAATCACTTATCTAATATCAATTACAAATAACATAACAATAACATTGATTTTCAATAATCTAAATAACCCGAAAAAAATAAACGTCAAAAAATCAATTCTTCTTCTTCTTCTCAACTAAAATTATAGATCAAGTGGTTTTAAAACTAAAATATTATAACGTGACGCCATCTATCGTAAGAATCTTAAACTAAACACACTGGCAACCATAGAAAAAGCTGGCAACGTTGTCAATAGCCTAGTGACGTAATTAGGAGATTTTTTTTTGTAAATATCTCGAAAACGGAAAACTCAATTGAAATTCCGATTTCACAGAAATGTTTAAAATTAAAAACGCCTTGAATAAAACCATAAAAAGTATAGGTCGGAAAAAATTTAACTACCCCATTGTTTCCAGATTCTTTAAAGTCGGAAACACTCCGAAATCTCCGAATTCCGAAGATGGAACCCCGAATAAACACGACGCAGGTTCGTGGAGACAGGCAATTTTCAAAAGAGTCGTAACCCCAAACAAAAAAGAGTTGGCCGAAGAACCGCGTAAAAAAAGAACTGCTGAGGAGTTAAGACACCTATGGAAACAATCTATAAAACAAGTGATTCTACTAGGAAGGATGGAAAAAGAAAATGCCAGATTAAGAGGTAAAACAAACCCCCCTATTATCATCATTACGGTGCTGTTCTAAGAGGTGATTTTTGGACTTTCTGTGAAACCTATTTTTTTTTTATATTCTTGTTAATTAGGTCATAACTAAAATTTTAAGAGCAAAATAAAAAAAAATTGACGGTTTGAATTGTTTTAATTGGCTGTTTATTAAAAAAAATATTATGCACTCTTTCAATTATCCAATTAAAACTAGCGATTTAATTTAAATATTTAATATTTTGTTGCAATAAACGTTCAAACTTTTAATCTAACCTTTGACGTATACATTTATGTTCCCTTAATTAATATATCCTTAAAGGTTGCCATGAAACTTAGATCTATTAAAAATTTATTTGACGTTTGAATTGTCATTTTCAGTATACGAATTCTATAATTTTTGTTTAGATTTTTAAAGTGTTTTTTATAAACAAAAATGAAAAATTGTAGTAAAAGTTACGAATAAATTCATGAAATTTAACTAAGGACCGGTTTATTCATCTTTAGTAAAGTTTATCGGGCCGATAACTTTCATGTCTAGTATCCAAAGAAATTATTTGTCAAATAAATCAAAAATGAATAAATCGGCCCTAAATAAAATGTGGCACCCTTAGAATTATTGTTTAATAAATGTATACTATACATTTAACCTTAAATTAAAACTTTAAACGTGTATTACAACAAAACAGTAAAGGATATAAAAAATGTATAGACCTTTTTTAGGAAATTAAATAATCTTTAATCTGATTTAAAAAGTTATGATAATATTTAAATAAAATCGCAAGTTTTAATTGGAGAATTGAAAGTGTGCATACATATTTTTAATAAACATCCAATTAAAACAAAATTAACCGTCAAATTTTTTTATTTTGCTCTTAAAATTTTATTTATGACCTAATTAACAAGAATATAAAAAAAAATTAGGTTTCACAGAAAGTCCAAAAATCACCTCTCAGAACAGCACCGTGATCATCATCTTAGCCAATAACATTTTTTTATTTGTAGCCCAACAGGAAGAATCTGCGGTAAAAAGAATAAAACTTGAGTACGATGAGTTGAAGCCCAATCAAAGAGAGGTTATGGAAGTGTGGGACATGATGACCAATAAGGAGTCGAGGATAAAATGCGACAGTCAGATGTTACTGCAGGCCATAAGACAAGGTGAGAAATAAAAAGCATTTCACTCCGGCAGTACTGATTTTTTTTATAGGAGTTCCAAGAGGTAAAAGAGGGGAAGTTTGGCAGTTTTTGGCTGAACAAAAGTGCGCTAAAATGCCGCCAATAGATCTAACAAAATATCCCAACTATAATGTTTCATATGAAACACTTTTGAAGCAACTTACCTCCCATCAACATGCCATTTTAATCGATCTAGGTAAGTTTAGTTTATTTACCTTTTTTTATGATGGATAATAAGCTAAAATGACTACAAGTTAAAATAACTACAAGCAAGAATATCGGATATCAAAATAACTACAATTATAAACAAGCTAATGAATATAATACGAAACCACCTCTAGCTAAAAGAACTGCAAGAAAAAAAACGACTACAAGCTAAAATTACTACAAACTAAAATTACTACAAGCTAGAACACTGATAAAAAATTATAAAAATATAATAATAAATATACCTATTTACAAACAAAAATAACTACAAGGTCAAAGAACGACATTTATTGACTACAAGCTGAAATGACCACAAGCTAAAATTAATTTAAAAAAACTTTTTTTACAAGCTTAATTAACTACAAGCCAAAAGAGCAATAAGCTAAAATGACTACAAACTAAAATGTCTACATGCTAAAATGATTACAAGGCAAAAGAGTGATATAAAATGAAAATCAACTATCTAAAAGCTAAAATTTCATAATATAAATTATTTCTTATATGACTACAATTATTACAAACTAAAAGCGACTATACGATAAAATGACTACACATTAAAATAACTAAAAGCCAAAATATAAACAATTTAGTTTTAAAAAGCTAAAGATATAACATGAAATGACCTTTAGCTAAAATAAAAGGGCTGCAAAATAAAATGATTAAAAACCTAAAATTTCATAACATAAATAAAGATTAAATGATGTCATTCTAATGTAACTACAATTATTACAAGCTAAAGGCGACTATAATATAAAATGACCACTAGTTAAAAGGGCTACACATTAAAATAACTACAAGCAAAAATAACAAATATAAAGAAGATTATAAAGTAAAAAACTACAATTTAGTTTTAACAAGCTACAGAATATAATATGAAACGACCTTTAGCTAAAATAAAAGGGCTGCAAAATAAAATGATTAAAAAGCTAAAATTTCATAACATAAATAAAGATTACAAGATTAAATGATGACATTCTAATGTAACTACAATTATTACAAGCTAAAGGCGACTATAAGATAAAATGACCACTGGTTAAAAGGGCTACACATTAAAATAACTACAAGCAAAAATAACAAATATAAAAAAGATTATAAAGTAAAAAACAACAATTTAGTTTTAACAAGCTAAAGAATATAATATGAAGCGACCTTTAGCTAAAATAAAAGGGCTACAAAATAAAATGATTAAAAAGCTAAAATTTCATAACATAAATTAAGATTGCAAGATAAAATGATGACATTTTAATTTAACTACAATAATTGTAATTGTAATAATTATTATTACAAGCTAAAGGCGACTATAGGATAAAATGACCACTAGTTAAAAGGACTACACATTAAAATAACTACAAGCAAAAATAACAAATATAAAAAAGATTATAAAGTAAAAAACTACAATTTAGTTTTAACAAGCTAAAGAATATAATATGAAACGACCTTTAGCTAAAATAAAAGGGCTGCAAAATAAAATGATTAAAAAGCTAAAATTTCATAACATAAATTAAGATTGCAAGATAAAATTATAACATTTTAATTTAACTACAATTATTACAAGCTAAAGGCGACTATAAGATAAAATGACCACTAGTTAAAAGGTCTACACATTAAAATAACTACAAGCAAAAATAACAAATATAAAAAAGATTATAAAGTAAAAAACTACAATTTAGTTTTAACAAGCTAAAGAATATAATATGAAACGACCTTTAGCTAAAATAAAAGGGCTGCAAAATAAAATGATTAAAAAGCTAAAATTTCATAACATAAATTAAGATTGCAAGATAAAATTATAACATTTTAATTTAACTACAATTATTACAAGCTAAAGGCGACTATAAGATAAAATGACCACTAGTTAAAAGGTCTACACATTAAAATAACTACAAGCAAAAATAACAAATATAAAAAAGATTATAAAGTAAAAAACTACAATTTAGTTTTAACAAGCTAAAGAATATAATATGAAACGACCTTTAGCTAAAATAAAAGGGCTGCAAAATAAAATGATTAAAAAGCTAAAATTTCATAACATAAATTAAGATTGCAAGATAAAATTATAACATTTTAATTTAACTACAATTATTACAAGCTAAAGGCGACTATAAGATAAAATGACCACTAGTTAAAAGGTCTACACATTAAAATAACTACAAGCAAAAATAACAAATATAAAAAAGATTATAAAGTAAAAAACTACAATTTAGTTTTAACAAGCTAAAGAATATAATATGAAACGACCTTTAGCTAAAATAAAAGGGCTGCAAAATAAAATGATTAAAAAGCTAAAATTTCATAACATAAATAAAGATTACAAGATAAAATGATGACATTCTAATGTAACTACAATTATTAAAAGCTAAAGGCGACTATAAGAAAATGATCACTAGTTAAAAGGACTACACATTAAAATAACTACAAGCAAAAATAACAAATATAAAAAAGATTATAAAGTAAAAGACTACAATTTAGTTTTAACAAGCTAAAGAATATAATATGAAACGACCTTTAGCTAAAATAAAAGGGCTGCAAAATAAAATGATTAAAAAGCTAAAATTTCATAACATAAATTAAGATTACAAGATAAAATGATGACATTTTAATTTAACTACAATTATTACAAGCTAAAGGCTACTTATAAGATAAAATGACCACTAGTTAAAAGGACTACACATTAAAATAACTACAAGCAAAAATAACAAATATAAAAAAGATTATAAAGTAAAAGACTACAATTTAGTTTAACAAGCTAAAGAATATAATATGAAACGACCTTTAGCTAAAATAAAAGGGCTGCAAAATAAAATGATTAAAAAGCTAAAATTTCATAACATAAATTAAGATTGCAAGATATAATGATGACATTTTAATTTAACTACAATTATTACAAGCTAAAGGTGACTATAAGATAAAATGACCACTAGTTAAAAGGACTACACATTAAAATAACTACAAGCAAAAATAACAAATATAAAAAAGATTATAAAGTAAAAAACTGCAATTTAGTATTAACAAGCTAAAGAATATAATATGAAACGACCTTTAGCTAAAATAAAAGGGTTGCAAAATAAAATGATTAAAAAGCTAAAATTTCATAACATAAATAAAGATTGCAAGATAAAATGATGACATTTTAATTTAACTACAATTATTACAAGCTAAAGGCGACTATAAGATAAAATTGCCACTGGTTAAAAATTTAAAATGTAGACTATAATATAAAATAAAAGCAAAAATGACAACAAACTAAAATGAAGACAATCTAAAACTATGTTAAAATATTGGCATTATTTTTAACGCTTTTTTTCTTAAAATTTCAGGACGCACTTTTCCTAACCATTCTTACTACAGTAGCCCATTGGGACCAGGGCAGTTGGCCCTATTCAACCTACTCAAGGCATATTCACTTCTAGACCCAGAAGTAGGGTATTGTCAGGGGTTAAGTTTCGTGGCCGGAGTCCTTTTACTCCATGCAAGTAGACGTTTTGCTACAAAACAATGCGTTTTATATTTTTTATTTCCTTTTAGATGGAAGAGTCGCAAGCGTTCTTCCTTTTGAGACACTTGATGTTTAGAAGGGGTCTTCGTAAGCAATATCTGCCGGATATGATACAACTGCAGATCAAATTGTATCAACTTTCGAGATTGCTGCACGACATTTTGCCCGATTTGTACAGCCATTTCGATTTTTACGATGTGGCGCCCACGCTGTATGCCGCTCCATGGTTGCTGACCGTTTTCGCTTCACAGTTTCCACTCGGTTTTGTCACCAGAGTTTTTGGTAAGTAAAAAAAAATTAATTATTTTTTTTGCATTTAAGAACACCATTTCAATGTATTTTAATAAGATGTAATTTTAAGAAAAAATCATGCTAAAATATGGACAAGCTACAAAAGTGACTATATTGGCAGTTTTAAAATGTAAATGTGCTAAAATGAAATTATTACATGCTGAAATAATGACCAGCTAAAAATGACTACAAGCATACAAAATTACTACATGTTAAAAAACACTAGAAGTTTAAATGACAAAACAAAATAATGACAAAAAATTACTTTATGCTAAAAAAGGACAAGCTACAAAAATATACATGCTAAAATACTAAAATCACTACAAGCTTAAATATATGATAACATGAGACAAGCAAAAAGGGCAAGTTAAGTTACAAGCTTAAATGAGGACAAGCTACAAAAATGATTACATGCTGAAATAATGATAAGCTAAAAATGACTACAAGCATACAAAATTACTACATGTTAAAAAATCACTAGAAGCTTAAATGACAAAACAAAATAATGACAAGGCTAAATGTTGACAAGCTAAAGAAATAACTACAATCTGAAAAAATACTTAAAACTGAAATAAAGACAAGCAAAAATGATAACATGCTAAAATATTGGCAAGTTTAAAAAATGACAAGCTAAAGTGACAAGCTTAAATGAGGACAAGCTACAAGTTTAAATGACAAAATAAAATAATGGTCAAGCTAAATACTACAAACTAAAATAAAGACAAGCTAAAATGGGATAAAACTACATGCTAAAATATTGGCAAGTTTAAAAATGACAAGGTTATCGTCGACAAGCTAAAAAAATACTACAAGCTAAAATGAGGCCAGAATAAAAGTGACTACATGCAAAAATAATTAATACAGGGTAAAACAAGAACAAGCTATTATAAAAATAACTACATGCCAAAATATTCACAAATATAAAAATGACTAGCTTAACAAACTTAACTAAAGACTAACTAAAATGGGAACAAATTACAAAAATGACTTTATGCTAAAATAAGAACAAGCTAAAAAATAACTACATGTTAAAAAATCACCACAGGATTAAATGACAAAACAATACTACAAACTCGAATAAAGACAATCTTAAATGGGGACAAGCTACAAAAATGACTACATGTTAAAATATTAACAATTTCAAAAATAACTGCTAAGTTAATGTCAAACCAAAAATGACTACAAGTAAAAACAGGTTTACTACAATAATCACAAGTAAATATAATGACTACAGAAAAAGCTAAAAAAATGCTACAAATTAAAATAAAGATATCCTACAAAAATGACTACAAGCTAAAATAAGTTACCTACCACAATAAGTACAATAAAAAATATTGACTTTATAAAAAGCTAAAAAAATTACTACAAATTGAAATAATGACAAGCTAAAATGGGAACAAACTACAAAAATGACTACATGCTAGCGTAAGAACAAGGTACAAAAATATTAAGGAGATCAAAAAGGACTACACTCTAAAAAAATACCAAGATAATAACTAAAAATGACTACATGCCATACAAAATACAAAAATGACTGATATTTAAAATATTGACATTTTTAAAAGTGACTACATATGTTAAAGTTAAAATACAAAATAATAATAAGCTAAAAAAGACTACAATCTAAAATAAGTTTACTACAATAAGCACAAGCATAAATAATGATTACCTAAAAGCCTAAAAAAATACTACAAATTATAATAGAGACAAGCTACAAAAATGTCAAAATAATAATGAATACACGGTAAAATAATTACTGTCAAGGATAAGATACAAAAATGAATACAACCTCAAATAAGTTTACTACAATAATCACAAGCATAAATAATGATTAACGAAAAAGGTAAAAAAAATAAAACAAGGCTAAAATAATGACAAACTACAAAATTGAGTACATGTCAATATTAACGAGATAAAAAATGACTACAAGCTAAAATGACAAGGTTAATGTCAACAAGTCAAAAATGTCATACTAAAAATTACTACAAGCTAAAAAACATTACTACAAATTAAAAGAAAGCCAAGCTAAAATGAGAACGACCTACAAAAATGACTACATGTTAAAATAAGCTACAAAAATATTGACAAGTTTAAAAATGACTACAAGCTAAAATTAGGGCAAATTTCAAAATGACTTCATTCAAAAGTAGAATACAAAATAATGACAAGCTAAAATAATTACACTACAATAAAATAAACACAAGCATAAAAAAACTACTACGTATTAAAAATCACTACAAGCTTTAAATGACAAAAAAGACAAGAAAATAACAAGGTTAAATGTTGATAAGCCAAAAATTACTACATGGTAAAATTAGAACGAGATACAAAAATGACTACAAGCTAAGAAAAATTACTAGAAATTAAAATAAAGCCAATCTAAAATAAGGACAAGGTACACAAATATTTACAAGTTTAAAAATGACAAACAAAAATAAGTACACTACAATAAAATAAACACAAGCATAAAAAATTACCACATATTAAAAATCACTACAAGCTTAAATGACAAAAAAATGACAAGGTTAAATGTTGATAAGTCAAAAATTACCACATGGTAAAATTAGAACAGATATAAAAAAGATACAAGATACAAAAATGACTACAAGCTAAGAAAAATTACTAGAAATTAAAATAAGGACAAGGTACACAAATATTGACAAGTTTAAAAATGACAAACTAAAATAAACACAAGCATAAAAAATTACTACATATTAAAAATCACTACAAGCTTAAATGACAAAAATGACAAGGTTAAATGTTGATAGACCAAAAATTAGAACGAGATACAAAAATGACTACAATGTAAGAAAAATTACTAGAAATTAAAATAAAGCCAATCTAAAATAGGGACAAGGTACACAAATATTGACAAGTTTAAAAATGACAAGACAAGGTTAATGCACACAAGCCAAAAAATGCCAATGTCAAACTAAAAATGACTACAAGCTAAAATTAGATAAAAAATGACTACAAAGTAAGAAAAATGACTACAAATTAAAATAAAGCCAAGCTTAAATGAGGACGAGCTACAAAAATGACTACATGCAAAAATATTGACAAGTTTAAAAATGACTACAAGCTAAAAAGCTGAAATAAATACTACAAGCTAAAATTATGACAACATTAAAAAGACTACTTTACAAATTATTGACAAATTTAAAAATGACTTTATTCTAAAGTAGAATACAAAATAATGACAAATACATAAAATAACACTACAATAAAATAGGCACAACTATAAAGATTAAATGACAAAAAAGACAAAAACATTCAACTACATGCTAAAAAATTACTACATTATTAAATCATAAAATACAAACTGTCACATTCTGTATTTTTAATGCAGATCTATTGTTCCTCGAAAACCCCGACGTAATCTTCAGGGTAGCGCTGGCCCTTCTAACCTACCACAAGCAAAAGCTGCTCCAGTGCGACAGCTTCGAGGGCATCATGAACTACCTCAAAACGCAGCTGCCGCTGATAGACAAACCGACCCTCGACAAAACGATGAAGCAGGTCTACACGACCGACATAAGAAAGCAACTGGAAGAGTACAAGGTGGAGTACCAAGTCTTGCAGGAGGAGAGGTGCTCCGTGCAGCCGCATGTTGAAGCGTTGCACAAGCTGGAGGGGCAGAACAGAATTCTGAGGGATCAGAACAAAGTTTTGCTGAGCAAACTAGAGATGGCGTTGGGTAACGTACAGAGGTTGGAGAAGCAGCGGGTCATACAGCAGAGCGCTATCAACAGGTTGGTAGAGATGCGACTTGAAAAAAAACGGTCCGTTTTTTTTCAGGTTTTTTTTCATTGTTTTTGTTCAAATGGTTTTTTTCACATTTTAGGTTTTTTTTCAAGATTAGTCCCATTTGCCTAATTTTTTAGGTTTCATGGTCTAAAATTAGCCACTAAATGACAACTAGTAATAGTATATTAAAGAACTAATGTCATAAGACGTCATTTTGTCGCACGCGGACAATTTATAAAACGAGCGACGAAGGAGCGAGTTTTATAATGGACAAGTGCGACAAAAGGTCTTATGACATGAGTTCTTTATGCTATTTTATCTAATTTGCAAACATTTCATAAAACAAATTAATTTTACACCTAATATTTAATTTGGTCGAATTTTACTTTACATAGTTGGTATCTCAGTTTGAAGTTTGAAAGGTCATTAACCTTTCAAACATTATCACATTCTTTCGCTATGGCGTCGTTAATTTACAATAAGTATTTACAATAAGCGGCTGTTAAAGAAGAAAAAAGGATTTTCTTTGGTGTTAAACAAAATTTATTGCACGAAAAGTCTCGTAAGTACTAGAAAACAAATCATAAAAATATTATAACCTATAGGTGTTCAAAATTGTATTTTACCAGTAGCCAACCTATAAAATCAAAATTTTGGGTGGAATAAAGTACCTCATTAAAGAACCAAAAGCGATGTTATAATGAAGTCATTATGAAACCAAAATAGATAAATGTAAATACAGTCTCGCGCTATGCACGCGCCACCACCACCGAATTGACCAATAAGGGCCGCGCTTGTTTTGATTTGGTCCTAAAAACAGTAACTACATATAATATTTTTGATTCAGCGCTTGATTTTTAAAAAAGCTACCAAAAGCACTTTTTTCATGATTTTTCAAATTCATGTAGAGTATGGATTTTTTTTTTCAAAAAAACAATAGCAAATTCTTGTAGGTCATTTATTCATTGGTGGTTAAGTCGGAGCATTCCGTGGACCAGAAAGCCAAAAAAATCGTTTTTTTTATTACGGCATTTGTTAGGATTGAGCGTTGCACATTTTTCATCCAAAAATCTCAAAACTAGAAACTTCAAGCTTCAAATTGCTTTTTTTACGGCTCCAATACGACCATTTTTAACAAAGATACAGCTATCCGAAGAATCGCAAAACAATTTTTGTATCCTTTAATTTTTTGTATTGGTGTAGAAGTTTTACATTGCTACTGGTTACTAATGTAGAAACTACCAAATAAGAAATTAGATTTTTTAGTCCCGGTCAAAATTTTCAATAATGAAAAATTTAATATATTCTACATTTCACTTTATTATTAATATACAGGGTGTTATGTAATTAATGCTATATATTAAAATACCTTTTCATATAAGGAATAAAGGAAAAATATTTTAAAAAGCATTTTTCCAAAGATAAAGAAAAAATATGCATTAGAAGTTTTTTATATTTTTTGTGATACGCCACTGGTTACACACTTGTTTATCTCTGCACATTTGTATTTTGTGAGTACATAGATACCAACCAACAAAGTAGCTATGTGTTGCCAGATGTAAAAAATTGTTACTAAAAATTTTTCTTGCAAAAAATAAATAAAAACTCAATAAATACAAAAGTTTTATGCCCTTAAAGCTCTAATACCCTTCTGTATTTATTTACTGATCCAGCTATTAGCTTAAGCAATGATTAGAAAATTTAGTACCTTTGAAATTTGAAATCCATAACCACAAAATTAATTTTTTCATCAGTTTTTTTCTCTGTTTACTCAGATGAAATTGGGACCAGTTCAGAGGTTAAACTTTAAACATTTAATTTGTGTAAATAAATCCAAAAGCACTTCCCTTAGTTAAGATATTTACAATTTGAAAACATAACCTAAACTTTGAAAGAAATGCACTAGATTCTGTCATAAAATTTGGCAGATTTTGTTTGAATTCATCTTCAGTGCAAAAATGAAATAACCAACAATTAATAAAAACGCCAAATTGACAATTTGCATCGTTAATTTTGTCATTTTTGTAATTAAGCTAAATTTAAACAATGTTTGTCAACTTTTTTGAGAGATTTTGGAAAAACTGTTGTTACCAACCATAACATAATAAATCCACCAGATTAACCTAAAGTTCCTAGTCGATCAGTGGCGTACTTTTTGGTAGGATAAAGGTTATTATAAATTATTTTTAGACTTTGGAATTTAGAAAAAAAAAGTTTCAGGTGCTTCTTTATGGACCCTAAGGAACAACCCATTTTAATATATAACATTAATTACATAACACCCTGTATATTTTACTCAAAATTTCATTTTGAAAAAAAACAAGAAAAACCGGTTTTTTTCTAGGTTTTTTTTCATGTTTTTTTTACATCTGAAAAAAAAACGTTTTTTTACATCTCTACAGGTTGGAGATGCAGAATAGGGGTTTGGATGTCACTATAGCGACTTTGGGGAATTTTATTAACGGGTTGGTGGAGGATAGGGTGTACGTGGATATACCGAGCGATGTGAGGCGGATTTTAACGCAAATTTCCTTCAGCGAGCGCCGGAAGTCGGAGAAAACCAACAACAACCTGCTAAAGATGTTCCAAGGAGACAAACAGATGGTGAAATCGCTATCGGCGGGAAAAATTACCCTCCCGAATAACCCAACGGAAGCCATGACGAGGTCCAACAGCCTCACCAACAAAGGCGTACCCATACCGGAAGACGACCTCGCCAAACAGACGAAAACGTCGCCGAAAGTGTCGCAATTTTTTTCCGACTCGCACAACAGCATCCTGCAGCAGAAACTGCACGTCAAGAGCGGGTCGAAAATCGACATCACCGTTGAGGATTTCGAGAAGGAGAACAACAAGAAGAATTTACCGCTTAAAAACGAGAGCGTGGACTCGGGGATCGGCACGCCTGTGAGCCCGCGGTCCGGGGATTCCCACCCGCTGATAAACAGCGACGTCAGTTTTACCTACGGCGGAACCAGGGAGTTAAAAAACATAAAAACTCTGAGGAACGTGGCCAGGAGTACAAGTCACGATTTGCTAGGGAAATAGTTTTTTTTTTGGTGATTTTTTGTATTCAAAATGTCGCTTCATAGTGTGATATTATTTTTAGTTCAATAAACGTCATATTTTATTTTATCGGTTTTCTAGGCATCGTTTTACTTTTTAACCAATCACATGACTGTTTTTATGGTTTTTTGTTTGTCTACGTAATTATTGTAAAAAGTATTGAATATGTAGTATTTTACTTCCATTGTGAGTATAACTTAAATTTTATATAATTTTTGTGATTTTGCGAAATTAATAAAAGTATATTCATTTTTATAAAATGCGTTTTTTATTGAAAACAATCCGCTTAAAATACCTGCGATGCGCGGCATTATCGATTTGTAATTTTGGTTGCCTACCTACAAAATTAATTTTTTAATCAATTTTTTTCTCTGTTTACTCAGATGAAATTGGGACCAGTTCACAGGTTAAACTTTAAACATTTAATTTGTGTAAATAGATCCAAAAGCACTTCCCTTAGTTAAGATATTTACAATTTGAAAACATAACCTAAAATTTAAAAGAAATGCACTAGATTCTGTCATAAAATTTGGCAGATTTTGTTTGAATTTACCTTCAGTACAAAAATGACATAACCAACAATTAATAAAAACGCCAAATTGACAATTTGCATCGTTAATTTTGTCATTTTTGTAATTAAGCTAAATTTAAACAATGTTTGTCAACTTTTTTGAGAGATTTTGAAAAACTGTTGTTACCAACCATAACATAATAAATCCACCAGATTAACCTAAAGTTCCTAGTCGATCAGTGGCGTACTTTTTGGTAGGATAAAGGTTATTATAAATTATTTTTACACTTTGGAATTTAGAAAAAAAAAGTTTCAGGTGCTTCTTTATGGACCCTAAGGAACAACCCATTTTAATATATAACATTAATTACATAACACCCTGTATATTTTACTCAAAATTTCATTTTGAAAAAAAACAAAAAAAACCGTTTTTTTTCTAGGTTTTTTTTCATGTTTTTTTTCACATCTGAAAAAAAAAACCGTTTTTTACATCTCTACAGGTTGGAGATGCAGAATAGGGGTTTGGACGTCACTATAGCGACTCTGGGGAATTTTATTAACGGGTTGGTGGAGGATAGGGTGTACGTGGATATACCAAGCGATGTGAGGCGGATTTTAACGCAGATTTCGTTCAGCGAGCGCAGGAAGGCCGAGAAAACCAACAACAACCTGCTAAAAATGTTCCAAGGAGACAAACAGATGGTGAAATCGCTATCGGCGGGAAAAATCACCCTCCCGAACATTCCGGGGGAAGCCATGACGAGGTCCAACAGCCTCACCAACAAAGGCGTACCCATACCGGAAGACGACCTCGCCAAACAGACGAAAACGTCGCCGAAAGTGTCGCAATTTTTTTCCGACTCGCACAACAGCATCCTGCAGCAGAAACTGCACGTCAAGAGCGGCTCGAAAATCGACATCACCGTTGAGGATTTCGAGAAGGAGAACAACAAGAAGAATTTACCGCTTAAAAACGAGAGCGTGGACTCGGGGATCGGCACGCCTGTGAGCCCGCGGTCCGGGGATTCCCACCCGCTGATAAACAGCGACGTCAGTTTTACCTACGGCGGAACCAGGGAGTTAAAAAACATAAAAACTCTGAGGAACGTGGCCAGGAGTACAAGTCACGATTTGCTAGGGAAATAGTTTTTTTTTTGGTGATTTTTTGTATTCAAAATGTCGCTTCATAGTGTGATATTATTTTTAGTTCAATAAACGTCATATTTTATTTTATCGGTTTTCTAGGCGTCGTTTTACTTTTTAACCAATCACATGACTGTTTTTATGGTTTTTTGTTTGTCTACGTAATTATTGTAAAAAGTATTGAATATGTAGTATTTTACTTCCATTGTGAGTATAGCTTAAATTTTATATAATTTTTGCGATTTTGCGAAATTAATAAAAGTATATTCATTTTTATAAAATGCGTTTTTTATTGAAAACAATCCGCTTAAAATACCTGCGATGCGCGGCATTATCTATTTGTAATTTGGGTTGCCTACCTACAATCGCCATATACTGCAATTAAATTACAAAATAATAATATTCTAAAAAAGACTACAAGATAAAATAAGTTTACCACAAAAAGCACAAGCATGAATAATTAAAATATGAACGAGATAAAAAATGACTACAATCTGAAATGACAAGGTTAATGTCGATAAGTCAAAAAAACGTTAAGAAAATGTAAAACTAAACATTACTACATGCTATAATATTCAACACAAGCTTAAATTAGAACGAGATACAAAAAAATACTAATATTTTTGGCATAGTTATTTTTTTATATCAATAGGTGCATATACTATCGCTAACAAAAAAAACTCATACAGCTTAAAAATCTAGTGTTCCTGATTTTCTATCATTTCGTTGGAGTAATTATGGCTTTTAACACGATACGTCACATTTGAAAGGTCTAAAATTAAATACAAAGTTAGGTTGAAGTTTGAAAAAAAATATAATATTTCGTCATCCCTCTGTTTTTGTCAATTACTGCCCGCAAACGGCAAAGCATGGAAGTCGCCGTCTTGCTTTATCTCGTTCCAAATGGCTTCAATGGCTTGCCAGAGTTCTTCTGCATTGTTTGGTTAAAAATGTTGTTAAAAAAGTCATAATGGATGTGACAAAGCTCGATGTCAGCTTGACATTGACGGAAAAGTTTTATTCACACAGCCACAATATAGCTGTATGAGTTTTTTTTGTTAGCGATAGTACACGGAACGATTTGTCGACCAATAAATTGTACCAAATAATCGTTAAATAAATTGTTGCAAAAAATCTCAAAGATAAATCGTACATGATCCACTGACGCTAAGTTTTATTTGAGCAATATTTCTGTTCAAATTAATCGGTCAAATTTATTGCTACATGTATGCTGTTTTCAACGAATAATTGGTCAAATTTGATCAAATTATCTGTCATCGGTGATTTTTCGGCATTCTGAAAAATAAGACCAATTTGACGTTTAATGGTGTTTTTGAGATTTTGAATTTGGCTTTAAAAATTAAAGATGAACGAAAATGCTGCTTTACTTGTTGGAATGATGGGATACATAATAATTAAAAAAAGAAGAAGAACAAGAAATCGCACGAAATGGGTCAAAACATGGTTACTGAGAAAAGAGCTGAATCATATGCCGCTTCTAAGACAATTGTTAGAAGATGATCCTGACGATTTTAAAAATTACTTGCGTATGGATGAAACAACTTTTAGGCAATTATTGGAGCTAGTAAAAGACAAATTAACTAAGCAAGATACTGTAATGCGCAAGGCAATTTCACCAGAGGAACGTCTTATTGCAACATTAAGATTTTTAGCAAGTGGACGATATTATAATTGTTTGCGATTCTCTGTTGGCATAGCCGAACAAACTCTTGGAAAAATTATTCCAGAAACATGCCGTGTTTTATTCGAAGTACTGGCAGAAGAATATTTGAAGGTAAATAAGAAATTATATGTACATTTATATTTATTAGGGATCGAACGATATCGGTATATCGGCCTTCTTGGTCGATATCGATATTGGCTGATATGTAAGTGCGATATCGGGCTATATCGACATCGGCCTGATAAAAATTTCTGTAGAAATTATTATTATTTGTATAGAAATTTTTATTAGGCCGATACCGGTATAGGCCGATATTGCACTTAATATCGACCAATACCGGTACCAGCCAAAAAAAAAAACGATATACCGACATCGATCGATCCCTAATATTTATATATTTTTATTGTAAACACTTTTGAATATTAAACAAAACATTAATCATACATCATAACGTAAATATAATAGTATCGTTTGAATTACTTTGTGTCGTAGTCTGCGAAAACTCGAAGTTTGGTGTAATGGAATTCCATTACACCAAACTTCGAGTTTTCGCAGACTACGACACAAAGTAATTCAAACGATACTATTATATTTACGTTAAGAAGGAACACTGCTATGCAGATCTTGAATGACTGTTGTTTTTGTTAGCTCCTGAAAATAGGCTTTTTTAAAGTCTGATTAATTAGATCTTCAGCTAAGATTTTTTGAACATCTGTTAGTTTTCGCAGTTTTGCTGCCCAGCCAATTCCAATGGCATCGAATTCATCGATTTCTCGTTTTGTATTAGATATTTTGTTTATGGCTTGTGAACATGTTTCAAGAAATTGTTCCTCTTTTTTTCTTATAATTTTTCTTTTTTCACTCGCAATTTTGTTTGGTGTTGCAGGTGACTTAAAAACCTGGAAACGAAATAAATACATTTAAATTCAAACGATACATTTTGAAATTATTTACAAGTACATAATGTTTTTAGTGTCCTTCGACTCAAGAAGAATGGCAAGAAATTGCAACACAATTTAAAAACCGCTGGCAGTTTGTAAATTGTGGAGGGGCATTGGATGGGAAACATATTAGAATTTCACGACCACCTCATTCTGGAGCAATGTTTTACAACTATAAAGGATTTTATAGTGTTGTACTTATGGCTTTAGTAAGTGCTGATTATAAATTTACGTGGTTGGATGTCGGCAAACAAGGTAGAATTTCTGATGGAGGGATACTGGATTGGACTTACTTTTATAATGATTTAAAATCTAACAAACTGAATTTTCCTGCAAAAGAAGACAATGACTTCAATTTGGATTTCGTCTTAATTGGTGATGAAGCATTTGCATTGGATAAACATTTATTAAAGCCTTATGCAAAAAGAGAGCTAACGCATGAAAAACAAATTTTTAACTACCGTCTATCTCGTGCCAGAAATGTTGTAGAAAATGCATTCGGGCTGCTTACAAGCAGATTTAGAATTTTTCACACACCAATAGCAGTCATGAACGTAGAACATATTAATTATATTGTAGCAGCTGCTTGTACTTTACAAAATTTTCTACTGTCAACTAGTTCTACCTATTCGACTAAATCAACTTTCGACAGAACCAACAAAACTTGGATAATTGACGAAGGCGAATGGAGACGCGAAAATTTTGTGGAGCTTACTCCGCTTCAACATGCAAATCCGAGGAATGCTAGTGTTGATGCAAAATTAAACAGAGATGCATATTGCGACTTCTTTAATGGTTTAGGAAAAGTGGAATGGCAAGAAAGTATGCTGAGAAAGGGTACAGCTTAAAGCGTTTAGTAATTACTATCTTAACTGTATACTTATAAGTTTGTAATTCATAACATTTAATATACATATATACAGGGTGTCCGGGAAAAAGAGGTCAATCCGTTAACCATATATTCCTTGAGTTAAAACAATAAGACTTTCATAATACCATTTTTCAATTTAGAGCTTCATGTTCGATATACAGGGCGACAAAGTTTGAAATTTAAAACTGATTTTTTTTAATAATTCGAGTAATTGATAATATACTAAGTTTAAATTCGGTACACTACTTCAACATAAATAGTAACATTTTTTGAGACCAACAAAACAAAAAACAATTGTCAAATATTCAAAATAGGGGGGTCCAGTACTCACTTACTCCCCCTATTTTTTAGTACGTGCGCCAATGACTTCCAAACGGAATTTTTTCAGGTAATCATTTATTGTTAAAAAAAATTGTCTCTTATAAAATTTTGATAAAATGATTTGTTTTAGAGATAATTTGTAAAGTATGGGTCAGTCCATATCAAATCAACCAAAGGTTCTTCCCCCACCATCTCCGATTTTGATCATTTTTGGTAAATTTGTTTACCTCACTAAAAAACTCAAAAATCCCAAATATGAATTTTTTTCGATAGGTGGTTTTTGTTTTATTGATTTTTGAAAATCAAAAAATTCCGATAAATTTGGGTCTTGCAAGTACTTACAAAAATAGCGATATCTCGTAAACTATTAAAAGTAGAAAGGTGAGTGATGGCTTATTTTAAAGGCCTATTAGAGAACTTTTTTATGATATATCACATGACCTACATTTTTTCAAAAAAAATTAAATTTTGAAAATTTGATATGGACTGACCCATACTTTACAAATTATCTCTAAAACAAATCATTTTATAAAAATTTTATAAGAGACAAAAAATTTTCAACAATAAATGATTACCTGAAAAAATTCCGTTTGGAAGTCATTGGCGCACGTACTAAAAAATAGGGGGAGTCAGTGAGTACTGGACCCCCCTATTTTGATTATTTGACAATTGTTTTTTGTTTTGTTGGTCTCAAAAAATGTAACTATTTATGTTGAAGTAGTGTACCGAATTTAAACTTAGTATCTTATCAATTACTCGAATTATTAAAAAAAATCGGTTTTTAATTTCAAACTTTGTCGCCCTGTATATCGAACATGAAGCTCTAAATTGAAAAATGGTATTATGAAAGTCTTATTGTTTTAACTGAAGGAATATATGGTTAACGGATTGACCTCCTTTTCCCGGACACCCTGTATAAATAAAAAAATTAAACTTACTTTTGTGGACTTAGATGTTTCTGCCAAAGACACTTGAGAACTTGATCTCTCACTAAAATCTGTATTTTGACTTTCATGATCATTATTTTGAGTTACATTATTTGCAAAATTGTCTTCCCTATCTTCCTCCTCAATTTCATTAACTTCGTTTTCACTTTCAACGTCCGTATCAAGAGTACTGATATTTGGAAAAGGCCTTTTTCTGCTTTCTAAGCTTGCGCGGGGTAGTACGTCATCGCAGGTGAAAAGAAGTAAATCATAGTACCACAACTTGGGTACATAAATATCGTCATATCCAGCTCCGCTTCTTTTAGACTCTTCTACTCTCCTTAACTCTTTCCGAAAAGCTGTTCTAAGGTTTTGTAATTTTTGCATTACAAATGCCTTATCTGCATCCTTGTAAAACTGTTTACTAAAATTAATTAATTCGGGTCCAGAACACTATAGCACACTCTGAATTTACAAAAAAAAAATTTACCATTTGAAAAAGGGCGTTTTAAATAGTAAATTTCATAAATAAAAATTGCGGGTTTTTCACTAGTTTTTGAGAAAATTAAGTTTGAAAATGCTCTTTTTGACAGATTTTTTGACAAGAAGTGTCAAGAAATGTCAGATTCAAAGAAATTCATCGCAATGTTGCCAGATGTAAAATTTTTATGCTGTTTGGGGAAATTTATTATGCAACCCAGATTACATGAAATTATTCCTAATTACATACATACATACATTTTATACCTTTTTTCGAGTATTTTCAGAATTCGGTAAAAACTCTATACTGTTTAAGGGAGCATCTGTTTATAACAAATTACCAAACAATATAAAAGAACTTAAAGGATTTAAATTTAAAAAGCATATGTCGTCTTGTATATGGGCTTGGTCAGTGCCTGAGCCCAATTTCGCGCGCGCAAAATTGGGCTCAGGCACTGGCCAAGCCCGCCTAGGCTCTTTGTAAACGTAATTAAATTTAATAAATCATTAATTATTTATGCTGTTTGGGGAAATTTATTATGCAACCCAGATTACATGAAATTATTCCTAATTACATACATACATACATTTTATACCTTTTTTCGAGTATTTTCAGAATTCGGTAAAAACTCTATACTGTTTAAGGGAGCATCTGTTTATAACAAATTACCAAACAATATAAAAGAACTTAAAGGATTTAAATTTAAAAAGCATATGTCGTCTTGTGTGGCGAATTTTATTGAATAAACAATGATATATCGTGATATTTTTTATTTTTTCTGTGATATTATATTTAAATGATATGTTCCTATTCAGAATTAAAATGTATTAATAAAGTAAAATTAATTTAGATTTAAGAAATGTATTAAGAATTAAAAAATATTTATTAAATTGTATGATTAGAGGTGTCCCTCTATAAACTGTATGTTTCTTGGGATGAAAATAAAGTATTTTATTATTATTATTATTATTTAGAGAACTTTAATACATGAAATATTTTTTTGTTCCATCCACGACTGTACATTATTAAAAAAATTATCTCGTTTTATAAAATATTTCTTGCATTTCTTTTATTTAATTTATAGCCTTATATAAAACATTTTTTTTGACAATTTTGATGCCAAAATAATATATAATAAATACCTTCAATTTTTTTTTTATAAAAGTTTTGTGATTTGTTCCGTCCGCGTGATTGAAATGGCCGTTTTAATTCTATATATGATATATATATTTATATACAGTGTGTCCACGGATGCACTTAACTATACTTGTAAAAATATTTATTTTCAATTTTTCGAGGAAAAGTCACTCTTCATAATTTCTTTTGCTTGTTATATAAATACCATTCAAGATGAGAAACTCCTATTTTGTCAAACATGGTGCGCAAAAAAATACAATTGTAGATTTTGCAAAATTAAAAAATGTTAATTTTTTTAAGGTCTAATATGAAGAGCTTGTAAGGATAAACCAAAAAGCCAAATAAAGGTTTTTCATGTGAGTTGTTGTTACTAAGATATTTGTTATTAAAAATAAAATAAATTCAATATCAAAAACTTATATGAAATGTGCTTAGGCACAGATCAAGCCCGCCTAGGCAACTTGTAAAGTCTATCAGTTTTTACAAAGTATTGGCACACGTAATCATATTAAATAAATGCCGAGCGAAGCGGGGCGGACTTGTTTAGTGCCTGAGCCCGATTTGGCGCGCGTTTAATTGGGCTAAGGTACTGACCAAGCCCGCCTAGGCTCTTTGTAAACGTAATTAAATTTAATAAATCATTTATTATAAATGCCGAGCGAAGCGAGGCGGGCTTGGTCAGTCCCTGAGTCCAAATTCGCGCTCGCAAAATTGTGATCAGGCACTGACCAAGCCCGCCTAGGCTATTTGTAAACGTAATTAAATTAAATAAATGCCGAGCGAAGCGAGGCGGGCTTGGTCAGTGCCTGAGCCCAATTTCGCGCGCGCAAAATTGGGCTCAGGCACTGGCCAAGCCCGCCTAGGCTCTTTGTAAACGTAATTAAATTTAATAAATCATTAATTATAAATGCCGAGCGAAGCGAGGCGGGCTTGGTCAGTGCCTGAGCCCAATTTTGCGCGCGCAAAATTGGGCTCAGGCACTGACCAAGCCTGCCTAGGCTCTTGGTAAACGTAATTAAATTAAATAAATGCCGAGCGAAGCGAGGCGGGCTTGGTCAGTGCCTGAGCCCAATTTCGCGCGCGCAAAATTGGGCTCAGGCACTGACCAAGCCCGCCTAGGCTCTTGGTAAACGTAATTAAATTTAATAAATCATTTATTATAAATGCCGAGCGAAGCGAGGCGGGCTTGGTCAGTGCCTGAGCCCAATTTTGCGCGCGCGAAATTGGGCTCAGGCACTGACCAAGCCCGCCTAGGCTCTTTATAAACGTAATCAAATTAAATAAATGCCGATCGAAGCGAGCCGGGCTTGGTCAAACAAAAACTCCCAGACGTAATCCACATTATGTGGTATTGGGCTTGCGAGGTCAGGAATGGCCCCGTCGCCCAAATTATGGGTACTCGTAGTGGGCGGATTGTTCAAACCTATCGGTATATTAGGGATATTTCGCCCACGACGCGTACCCATAATTTAGGCGACGAGGCCAGTCCTGACCTCGGAAGCCCAATACCACATAATGTGGATTACGTCGCGGACAGATACTTTCATTGTGTCGAAAAAACTACCCGTGAGGACATTATTATTATTATTATTATTATTTTTATTATTATTAAAAAGGCGTGGTCCAGGTTATATATATACTCCAGCTCTGGGTCTTAAAATGCAAATTCTAGTACAGTTCCTCACCTTGCAGCGTAACTGGGCTTTTACAAGTCCAGCCTGCTCTAATGCAGTTATTAACTCTCCATCTGGCTTAGATGTAAGCTTATAAACATTATTAATGTTTTGAATATTCATTTTGAAATAAGTAGCAAATAGCACAAATAAATTTACACTACTTAAAAGGTACCTATATCAATTAAATGAAAACTGCAATAATAACAAATTTTGTTTAAAAACAAAATTTTCAAATTATGAAATTAAATTAAGTGCAAAAATTAATCCAATACCTAATATAAATAATTTATTTTAATTACATGTATAAGGATTTAAATTAAAATTATTTAAAGTATTTAGTTAAATGATAATATAATAAATTTAAATATGTTGTTATCTTGGTTGCCTACATAGGTACCGTTAATTAAGATAATATTATATTATTATTCCTATACTTATTTTGCTCATACTTCCCTAATTTCAATATTTCCTTTAATGTTTAGCATATTTCGGAATTTATTTTGATACAATATACATTTTCAATTACAAAATAATGTAATACTTTTGCCAATTTTAAACCTGACAACATTGAAATACATGATAACCAACCTTAAAACACAAATTCTGTCATTTTAAATTGTGACAGTTTAAAATTCAGTGCTGTACATAGAAAAGGTGACAGTTTTAAGCAAGGTTTGTTGAATTTAACACTATAAACATATATTTTAGTGAAAGTTTGGTTTTTCCGCACCTAAATATGCTTAAAATGTGGTTTTATATCCATTTGTGTCGAAAATTTCCAATAAAAATTGGATTTTGAGAGTGTGCTATTGTGTACTGGAACCATTAATTCGTCGTAGCTTATTTTTTTAATATTTCTATTCGTATATTGGGGACTACTCGTTTTCCATAAACACGGATTATTACGGTATAACTCAAGAAAGCCGGTTATAAACTCTTTGCTTGCCATAATTTATACTATATTACTCAAAACTGACGTACGACTCAAAACTTCAAACTAAAATTTAGCCCGCTATGATCAAATAACTTTCGGACAAGCACACGTACAGCACGCTTTGAAAAATATCGGCAGATTTTTATTGACCGATTTATCTGCAGATAAATCGTTGTGTTTATGTCAAGAGACCAAACTATCGTTTCAAATTATTTTAGTGGATTTATCTTACAATCTTCTTAATTTGTACTTTTCCACTAACGAGCAGTTTTATCTGTATAATTTTAAAAATTTAACGATAAATTGCTCAAATCGGTTGATAAATCGTTTCGTGTATATGCACCTAATATTATATTATCAAGTAAATTATCATCAATTAAGGAATTTAGCAGAAGTACCATTTTTTAAATACTAAAAACACTAAATCAAACTGGCATAAGCTACCAACTTAATAAAAAACACGAACCAAATAAAAAAAAATAACGTTATTTTAGGACACCCTGTATTTTATAGTGCAGTGCTATTGATTAAAAGATTAAGAATAACGCACGGAACACAGAAAAAACTGAATAAATATTTACTCGAGTCCGACTATTTATAGTCAGAAAATTTGCATTAATAAGAATAAAATAATTAGTTATGAAAATCACGAAATATGCTAATTAATGTTTTTATAAAATAAAAATAAATTAAATGAAAATTACGCAATATGCTAATTAATTGTGGTAACATGCATCATGCATAAAAAATTCTTTCTACGTCGTGTTCAAACTTTTTTTCAACCGTTTAATAATTCTGTACTTGGATATTGTTGACGTTTGACATTATAGGTTATGTACAAGAATTTATTCCACAGTGACCTGTAATTTTACAGTTACCTACCTGTTTTCGAGCTAATACGATAGATGGAACCACTTTTCCTATGTAATTTCAATGCATTTTCATTATTGTACGGCGGTGTATAATTATTTTGTACTACGTAAGGTTAAAACTAATTGACAGCTGTCAGATGTCAGATAAAATAAGGTTTTCTTTTAGATAAATAAAAAATAAGGTAGGTTTATAAAAAAATTTAATATAAAAAAATACAAAATCAACTATTTTTTCAAGAAATACTTTATCTAGTTAAATACCAAATAACAATGACTTCTTTATTAAATACAAATAACACTTAATCCAATATTATAACATCTGAGACAATTTTATAATCAACTGTTTCCTCATCTTTGATTCTTGCTTTTTTTTCCCTAAAAAAAAATAATTTGTAATTCAGAAGCTTAAAAATAAATATTTATTAATTTGTATACTGATTTTTTATTTCTGAATTAACATTTTTATGTATAATAATCCTAACTATCTTCAACTTCAATCTAATCTGACTTATCCCGCAAAATTTTCCAATTTTACTTTTTATGAAATAATGTCATACAACTTATGGTTTAGAGGTCAAATTGTTCATTTAATATTTTTAAATAAATATATATTAATATGTCGCAACATTTTTTAAGGGGACGACAAATACATTTCACTGTCATATTATGACAGTGAGGCGTATTTGTCGTCTCCTGAAGAATTTTACGAATGTAGAATACAACATATTAGAACGTGGGTATCTGACATATTTGGGAATATTCTCAAAAGCTTTCTAGAAGCTCCTTAAGAAACCTATTAAGAACATTCCAAAAACGTGTTCTTAAAATGTTCTTAGGATGCTTTTTAGGAAGGTTTTAAGAAGCTTTAAGAATCTAATTGCAACATTAAAAGGGTATCTATTGAATGTTTTAAAAGTCCCTAAGAACATTCTTAGCAATCAGGGGTAGAGGGTACTTACTGGTTGGACAGTTTGAGGATATCTTCTAATCCCACATGGCCATCTGACTTAATTAGTTCCTCAATATTTATTTCCTCTCTTACAGTTTCCAGTTTGAGTATATCTTCCAACCCCACATGTCCATCTGACTTAAGGAGTTCCTCAATATTTATTTCCTCCCTTAGAGTGTCCAAGTCCAAAGATTTTCTTTTTGTTGGTTCTTTTTTAATTACTATTTTATTATTGGTATTTTCGTATGGTTCAATATCTGTATCACTGGAGTCATCATTAATTGTTATGGTTTGGTAGAAATCATCGTTGTTGTTAATATTTGAACAACTTTCTGTGACATTTATGTTTTTTTCTTCTTCTTTAATGGGAAGAACCTCCACAGCTTTTATTCCCTCAGAAGTATCTTCATTATTTTCGTGATTATTATTAACATTTGGACTATTTCCTGGAACATCCATAGTCCTATCTTCTTCACTTGAAAGTACTTCCAAAGTTCTCACAACGTTTACTACCTTAGAAGATTCAGGTACCACCAAATTGGTATAATCAATTACTTTCTTCAGCAAACTTTTTTGGCTGGAATTCTTCACTTTCCCATTCGACAAAAAATCCATGGACATTTTAGTCAATCTACTCCAACCTTTCTTAACATCGAATTTGATTCCTAGCGCTGTAAATGGTATGTGAAACGCTTTGGAAATTTTATTCCAGTCTGCGTTTAATGGTCTTCCACTGTGGTCGAATTCAAAGTAAAATAATTTCATTGTACCTAACAAACAGTTGTAGTAGTAATCGTTCCAATGCCTAAAAATATTTTAAAATGGTATAGAAATTCTTAAAGTATACAGTTATCGGACAATTAACATTTTTGTGCAGGGCTGTGTTTGAATTACAATAAAAAATATTTCTAAAAAGTGTACATATCAGTGTGCGGTATAAATGTGTTCCTCATGGTTTAAACATTGTCACTTTAATGCGTTTTAATTTTAATTCTGAAAACAAACAGTAAAATGGCCAGTGTCCAATTACTGGTTGGTAAAAAATGTAAATTTCTATTATTGGACATACGTCCAATATCATACTCTATTTGTATCCCGGACATTTACCAGCCAATTCTTGTGTAAAATTGTCCCCTGAATCCGAAAAGACCGTCAAAAACTATAAAATTTAAGCAGTTTTTGAGATATAGTCAATTTCATATTATATGTAAAATTGATTATATTTCTTTTTGACTTTTGACGACATATTCGGATTCAGCGAACAATATTTCATGGGAATTGACTGCTAAATGTCCTAGATACAAATTGCTGTTGACGAGAATAATTATATGCTTTTTCGCTATGACATTTTTGACTAATTCATTTTTAGAGAGTAAGTAATATAGTGATTTCTTCGTCACAGGACATCTTGCAGAATAACAGTGATTTAAATACAGTGCATGATAGATAACATAAAAAACTAATAAATTCGGAAAATACTTTTAACATACCACCCGAAAAAATGTTAAGATATATATAAATCATCCTGTTCCGGCCTAAACATTATAAATGCTTCACAAACTAGAGATACCACACTTAAAGATATTTGCAACAAACTATTTCAGAAGTCAGACCAAGGAATTAGTAGTTACCTTCAGAATCCAGAAAAGGGATGAGGAATCCGAGAAAGAAATATATGAAATATATGATATTTACAAAAACGAAATAAAAAAAATATTTAACAATTTATGTTATTTGATGTAAAGTTGTTATGTTTATATAAAAATAGTATGTCCAATAACTATGGTCCATGTGTCCAATTACTATATAAAATGTCCAATTACTATACTTTTTGCATTTTTTCATAAAACTAATATTAAAATTCAAAAATTCTTATTTTAAAGTAAACTTAAATAAAGTTTAAACAAACAAACTATCCTTTTTATATAATTATAAGAAAAAAACTTAAATAAGTGTCCAATAACTATGTGGTTTACTCTACATACCTTTTCTCTACTTTTGTCTTATCTTTTCCAATTTTTTTGGAATTGGTAACTTCCTTGAATTCCACAGGAATTTCGGTCAAAGTAACATTGGAATCATTTGAATTTTCCGAAACATTTTCCACGTTTTCCGGAGGTTCATCTTCAGTAAAGTCTATAACCATATTTTCTTGGGGCTTTTCCAGTTTTTCCGAGTCTTTAGGACGTTTAATTTCATATGATCCATAATTTTTTTTCAGGAGTTTCAAAATAAAGTTTTCTTGACTTTTTAATTGTTTTTTTGTAGCTTTGTTTGTACTTTCTTTTGTTACAACATTTGTTGTAGTACTTTCAACAGTACCATTTAAACCTTGACTATTATCATCATTGGTATTATTATTGTTTATAATATTAATTTCTGTCAAATTAATAATTCCAATTTGTGTGTTCTGTCTACCATTTCCGCTGATAGTACTATTATTACTCACTCCAGTACTATTGCCAATGTTGGCACTATTATCACCGAAAGTACTACCAACATTAGTACTTTCATTAAAATGCCAATTAGGTACAGAAGAATTTGTAGTACTATTGCCACTATAACCAACATTAGTACTTTCATTCGAACGCCAATTAGGTACAGAAGAATTTGCAGTACCATTGGCACCATAAGAACTCCCAACATTAGTACTGCCATTTAAATGCCAATTAGGTACAGAAGAGTTTGCAGTACTATTACCGATGTAAGTACTATTGCCACCATAACCAACATTAGTACTTTCATTTAAATGCCATTGAGGTACAGAAGAAGTAGTAAGCCTAGTACTATTGCCGATGTTAGTACTATTAGCACCAAACGTATTTTCAACATTAGTACTTTTATTTAAATGCCACACGATCCTGGAAAAATGGTGTCGAACTTCATTTAGCTTATTAAAACCTTTTTCAACATGGAATGTGTTAATAAAAATATTAATTTTTTTTGCTGTGGTGTAACATTGGTTATTGAATAGAATTGAGTCTTTTATTAATTTGCAACATTCTGTACACAAGCTTATTAATTTCATTCTCTGAAACAAGCAAAAAAATAATTCAAAACTAAGAAAGTAAAAACAAATACTTTTTAAAACGAACTATATTTTTTTAATTGTTTGTTTTAAAATTATAAGTAAAGTAGAAATTTTGACCTGTGATAACTGATGCAAAATATGCGTATAAGTACAGTTAAGGACAATAGTAATGTCCATTTGAACGCTCCATTGTAATTATTCGGAGATATTCGGGTTTTGGTAATAAAATTAACATATTTAAATAAAATATATAGACATTCAATACTAAAATAATTATAAACTTTTGCATATAATAGTATATTATGTATCAATTGATAAGCGCCATTTTGTACACGAATTTAATTTAGGCACGAGCAAGCTTGAGATCGAGTGCTTAAATTAATGAGTGTATAGAAAAGTTTATAAACGAGGTGCATACTATACTTTTTCTACAACAAATACTTATTATTATCTTAAAATGATTTAAATCAAAAATTTGTATAGAGCGCCATCTATGAAACAATTGGGGAATCTGTGTGTCACCGTCAAATGTCACATTTTTTAATTTTATAAACAGGTTATAAATCGAAATGTATTTCTTGAAAATTGACAGTTTTTCACAGTGAAAGTAAAGAAAAGGTTTTATGATGACTTTACAGTGGAGTCCGTGCCCGAATTTAAATTATAGTTTACTGCCGGAGAAATTAAAAGGTCAGTACAATGTTCATATAAACTTTTCAAATATTGGCGTTGAGAAACTATTTAATAATTTTGATTTTTGGTATTGAGATAATAAAAGTTTTTCATAGAATAAATGTATAAACTTTATAAAACTATAGAAAAATATTTCAAAAAATGAACGATTTCATAAAAATACGGATAAATATGAAATACACCCAAAATAATTAATTCAATACAAGCAGGTAGTAAATTCTAAATATAGAAATATTTTTAAATAAATCCATAAGAGGCAGATGTTGACTATTTTCGAATGCTTCTGAACAGTTACAATTGAGCATTCAAATGGACATCACTATTTTCTGCAACTGTATCTACTAACCGATTTTGAATAATTGAATAATTCGTTTATTGGCGTTAAAAATATATTGATTAAAAGTACTTACAGGGTTAAAATATTTATGCACCATGTTGAGGTAGAAGTAGTGTAAATTTGATCCTTCAAAAAAATTACGAAATAATTTGGAGTCACCACACGCTCTGCATTTCAAGGGACCTGTTTTATTGGACTCCAATTCAGATTGTATTAACTTATACTTTAAACTTAGGAATTGGTTTAATGCATTATAACATTTACAGCATATACAAGGTGTTGGATAAATCATTTGAGTCATATCCTGAAAAAAAAAATTATTTCACTTTACTACGCGTGCACTGTTGCCCTGTTGCCATGTTGCATTTAATGACGGATATTTTAATATTTATTGTTAACAATAAACAAAACTTACCATGAAATCGAAACATTTTCTTATTATATGAATAAGTTGCGTTTTGGAGCCACTCTGTAAAGAAATAAAAATTATTATTTATTTATTATTTAACTTTTATTGTGTTTTGATCTTTCATAATTAAGTGATTATTACAGCTCAGGTTCCATATTTTTAACCGTAATTAATTATTTTTTACAATGTTTTAAAAGTCTAAAACCTATCCTCCGTGAATGTTACTCTTTCTAGGTTAACCTATATGTTTTCAAATATCTGAGGTAGTAAAAGCAAAAACCTCTGTTTACGACATTATAGATGCATGTGATTCCTGAAGGTCACCTATCCACCGTGAAGTGTAATATCTCAGTAAGTAGATTTTTTTATAAATATTTTATATTTTTTAAAAATATTAAGGTGTCAAAAGATACAATAACTTATTTCAAATATACAAAACATACGTAATCCTAACCTCCATGAAGCTATCTTCCGTGAAGCTCTAATATTCAAAATGTATGATTTCTTAAAATTCTTGCATAAGTGCAGAACCACTTATGTTAGGTTATTACTAGACCTGGTGGCTTCCCAAAAACCCAATTTTTTTTTTTTTGTGAAACAACCAAAAATAAAAAATAATCATTTTCACTTACCTATCACGGTGCTGTTCTGAGAGGTGATTTTTGGACTTTCTGTGAAACCTAATTTTTTTTATATTCTTGTTAATTAGGTCATAACTAAAATTTTAAGAGCAAAATAAAAAAAATTTGACGGTTTAAATTGTTTTAATTGGCTGTTTATTAAAAATATTATGCAATCTTTCAATTATCCAATTAAAACTAGCGATTTAATTTAAATATTTAATATTTGCATAACTAAAAAAAAGGTTTTTACAATTTTTTTTATATATTTTACTGTTTTGTTGCAATAAACGTTCAAACTTTTAATCTAACCTTTGACGTATACATTTATGTTCCCTTAATTAATATATCCTTAAAGGTTGCCATAAAACTTAGATATATTAAAAATTTATTTGATGTTTACATTGTCATTTTCAGTATACGTATTCTATAATTTTTGTTTAGTTTTTTAAAGTGTTTTTTATAAACAAAAATGAAAAATTGTAGTAAAAGTTACGAAGAAATTCTTGAAATTTAACTAAGGACCGGTTTAAAGTTTATCGGGCCGATAACTTTCATGTCTTGGCAATATCTAGTATCCAAAGAAATTATTCGTCAAATAAATCAAAAATGAGGCACCCTTAGAATTATTGTTTAATAAATGTATACTATAAATTTAACCTTAAATTAAAACTTTAAACGTGTATTACAACAAAACAGTAAAAGATATAAAAAATGTATAGACATTTTTTTAGGAAATTAACTAATCTTTAATCTGATTTAAAAAGTTATGATAATATTTAAATAAAATCGCAAGTTTTAATTGGAGAATTGAAAGTGTGCATACATATTTTTAATAAACATCCAATTAAAACAAAATTAACCGTCAAATTTTTTTTTTTTCGCTTTTAAAATTTTATTTATAACCTAATTAACAAGAATATAAAAAAATTAGGTTTCACAGAAAGTCCAAAAATTACCTCTCAGAACAGCACCGTGCTATATAAGTTCTATGAGAAATGTTTTGAAAAAAATAAGATCTTTGTTTAATGTTTAATCCTGCCTTAATGAGCTTTTAATGATATAAGAAAAAATTCACTAATTAAAAGGCATACAACACTTCTGCTTATGTAGATCCGGCCCTGCCCTAAGGTTGCACGTGAAGCTTAGATAAACACCAGATGTTTGCTTTAGCTTAAAAGCTTCTTACAGTGTTGCCATAAATATCAACCGTTTTATCTTTTATAAAAAATACCTAAATGGGCAATAAATCAGTTTTAATTACCACCCCATTAAACTTTCCCTCCACAAATTGACCCATTGACGTCACACGCAGTGACAACGCAAGAAAAAGGACAAAAAAGACCTTATTTTTTTTTTATTTCTTGTATCAGACAGATAGATAACCTCAATTGTTTTTATTTGTATTCAAATGTCAAAGTGTGGCTGACAAACAAAAATAAAAAATAGTACTTACACTTGGTGTGTACCTATTTTTGAACGGAAACTCTTGAGTAAGTGGCACTGAATTCTGTTGGAATTCTTCTCCCAAGCATAATCGACAGGTTATTTTATTTTCTTCCATTTATACATATGTAAATATATCTGAAAAAAACAATTGTTTAATTTAGGGTACTAAAAACATAAAGAAATAAATAAAATAGGATTCCAATAAAAAAAAAATGTAATCAAATGTATAGGGTGCTTGTAAATTAAAGTCTAAATACAAAAAAATATTTTAACATTTATTGTACAGTTACGGAAAATAGCAATGTCCATTTGAATGCTCAATTGTAACTGTTTCGGAAATAGTCAACATCTGCCTATAATTATTTTGGCATTGAATGTCTATATATTTTATTTAAATATATTATAACTATCTAATTTATTAAATAAATTATATTTAAATTATTTCAAAATCAATTTTATTCCTTAAATATAATGGTTTAGATTATTGCATAAAATCTTAAAAGTCAAATGAAATGTGCGTAGAAAGAATAATAAATAGCAGGTAGGTAGATTTATTGAGTTTACAATTACAATTCAAATGGACATTACTATTTTCCGTAACTGTACCTACATTTCATTCAAATTTTTGGCTTTAATTTGTCTTGTTTAACTTGGGTACCTATCATCTAAATAGTTTGTTAACATTTTAAAAACAATTTTGAAAAAAATAGGTATATACCAATTTTTATACCTATATATACTTTAAATTTTAATTTTTTTACATAATAAAAACTTCATAACTCGTCTAGTACATAATATTTAGGTAGTTTTAAACTTAGGGTTACCTTATGCCACCATGAGGTCTTGGAATGGCCCTTTTCAGGCAAATATTTCTTTATGTTACCATGTATATGGCAACTTTAAGTATCAAGTTACCTAATGGGACTAAAAAAACATTGAAGTGCCAAATGTTTTTATTTTTATTTTTTCAACTGACAATATTGATAATTAAGTGACAAATAACACAACACAAAACACAATAATTATTAATTATAACCTTAAAAAATGGAGAGAAAAATTGTTGTGACATGCGCTGTTCAATGTTATTTATAATTCATAATTTAGGTGAAGTTTCGAGGTTATTCAATAAACACTATATTGTGAGTTAGTACGATTTAACTTTTATGCTTATGAACTAAATTATGAATTATGAAATAAATTAATGATATAAAGCCATTATACAGGTATTTATTACAACAAACTTTCTATTTTTTCTTGTAAATTTATGAAGGTTTTAGCATTCACTCAGCGGTTTTAGTATTACATTTTAAGATAATATATCAATTAATGTAATGGATAAGTAAAGTATTTATTATGGAGGATTAAATGGGGTTTGTTAATATTTATTGGTTCGGATTATCCGACTCGGATATTCCACTATACTCGGAAATTTTTATCCCGACCGTGAGAAATTGTATTGTGACGTAGGGATAACAACATATAAACAATTTCTGATTATTTCTGATTATCGTGGAATAACCTTATATAATAAATACATACCTACCACATTTAATCCACCATAAAAGATACTTCACTAATCCATTAAAAATTATTTAAATAACCTCTATAGAATCTTTAACACCCCATATCAGGGCGTTTTAAGTGTGAGTAGAAACAAATCTTTTGTTAACCCCGTATCATAATGCGGGGCCCGTATTTATTCTACTAATTACGGCTCTTTATGCTAAAAAGCAAGGTTAGTTAAACAACATTTCATTTCGAAATTGTTTTTAGACTGTAAACAAATAATTTACGCCATACGAACCCAAATAAAAAAGGCACCATACTTTTGATTTGTTTCAAACTTTGACTTCCGATATCATCTAAATGGATAGATTTAAATAAAAACACAAAATATATTTTTGTGGAGCGCAAAAATTCCTTGAAAAATATGTCGTAAGTATATATTGTTGCATGTTTATTCATTAACGAGTTATGAATTTGTCCTTGTCATTAAAATGTAATTTTTGAAGAGTTAACTAAACTCATTTTAATTGCTTTTAGACTGTTTAGACTGACCTAGTTAAATCAATTTTGCATAACTTACCTTTTGGTTAATTAAAATCCTTTAAATTATCAACTATTTTTAAACAATATTTGCCAAAACCACCTCACAATCAAATGATTCTTTTACACTTTAAAGTTCACTATTTACCGCGCACACAATAACATGCTTAGTATTAATTATTATTCTTGCATTAATATAACTTAATACCCAACACAAAAAATCATATCACGCTATAAAATAGTTAATGTAAAACACCACAACATCCTGTACGACCAAGATAACGTTTTTAATATTACGTAGTTACTTAAATTGCTGACAACGCGGGAAACGAATGCACAACCACGCGCTATGAGATACTCGACAACACTGCCCACAAACAGGAAGTGTTTGTTTACAGGGCGGGATTTAGCACATGGCACGATAAACAAACAACGGGATTCGCTAAAGAAGTATCGGGTTTTTGTAACGCGCGCGTGAATTTAAAAATTGTCAACAATACATTTAAAGCATACGAACTGTACATCATTTTTAAATAAATAGGGAGTTTTTTCACAAAAGAAGTCTTACTCGACAAATTTTGTTCAATTGCACATCTAAATCGCGCACTTTATTTGTGTTTTACGTTGCAAGGAAAAACTAAAAAACTGGTTTAGTACTCGATTTCGATTGATTATTCTTTATATCATTGATTAAGAAACTCAACGCTTATATGCTTATATAGTTACGTTAGTGTGTGTATTTTATCAAAGGGATTATGGTGAATTTTTGGGTTTTTAATTGCAAATAAAATCAAGAACTAAATCAATGCATTTTCATGTTTTGCCAAAGGATCCAATTCGGTAAGTACATTTGTTGGTGCAGAATTAAGTAATGATAACTTTACCTAATATAATTTATATTTAAGTTTGGACATATTTAAGAAATTAGTAAAAAATAATTTTTGCACAAACATAACCTTAAAATCAATCATTTTTATATTTGAGTTCTCTAAAAAACGCCGACAACTGAATTTTAAACAACAAAATATACCTACGAATTCATGGCAACATAATATTATATACAGGGTGTTATGTAATTAATGTTATATATTAAAATGGGTTGTTCCTTAGGGTCCATAAAGAAGCACCTGAAACTTTTTTTTTCTAAATTCCAAAGTCTAAAAATAATTTATAATAACCTTTATCCTACCAAAAAGTACGCCATTGATCGACTAGGAACTTTAGGTTAATCTGGTGGATTTATTATGTTATGGTTGGTAACAGTGTTTCCAAAATCTCTCAAAAAAGTTGACAAACATTGTTTAAATTTAGCTTAATTACAAAAATGACAAAATTAACAATGCAAATTGTCAATTTGGCGTTTTTATTAATTGTTGGTTATTTCATTTTTGTACTGAAGGTAAATTCAAACAAAATCTGCCAACTTTTATGACAGAATCTAGTGCATTTCTTTTAAATTTTAGGTTATGTTTTCAACTTGTAAATATCTTAACTAAGGGAAGTGCTTTTGGATTTATTTACACAAATTAAATGTTTAAAGTTTAACCTGTGAAATGGTCCCAATTTCATCTGAGTAAACAGAGAAAAAAACTGATGAAAAAATTAATTTTGTGGTTATGGATTTCAAATTTCAAAGGTACTAAATTTTCTAATCATTGCTTAAGCTAATAGCTGGATCAGTAAATAAATACAGAAGGGTATTAGAGCTTTAAGGGCATAAAACTTTTGTATTTATTGAGTTTTTATTTATTTTTTGCAAGAAAAATTTTTAGTAACAATTTTTTACATCTGGCAACGCATAGCTACTTTGTTGGTTGGTATCTATGTACTCACAAAATACAGGTGTGCAGAGATAAACAAGTGTGTAACCAGTGGCGTATCACAAAAAATATAAAAAACTTCTAATGCATATTTTTTCTTTATCTTTGGAAAAATGTTTTTTTTTATATTTTTCCTTTATTCCTTATGTCAAAAGGTATTCAGTATTTTAATATATAACATTAATTACATAACACCCTGTATAATACATAATATAATGGTATTTTACCGTTGAGTGGAGACTTTCTAAATTAACGCTTTTAATAATGCTAAATGCTGTTTAAATTTAGACGACTTACTTGTTTGACGATTATTACTGAATTGAAATGTTTACACTTTTCACGTTAATCATTACTAAAATGTGTATTTATTGTATCTAATAGGTACAATTTATATTTACAGGGACTGTATGAAATTTATTTCTTTATTCGGATTAACACTGTTTATTGGAACTCAACCCAGGATTTCCTCTCGAAATACACCCAACAACACAACAAATCGTGCCACGGTTTTTTTTCGATAATTTTTAACATTTTCCGGCTTCATTCTCGTTTGTAACATAATCGTTTGACAGCTGATTATTAAAAGTTGTACTTTTGTTACGATGATAACAGCCGAGTGGTGGCGCTACTAGCGATATTTCATTTAATAAAATTGCATTTAAATTTAAGTGAGGTTATAAATTATAAATCACATCTAGCAAATTTTTTAGATCCGGACCTGTACAGATATACGCCTCGGGGAAATTTAGAGAGAGAGAGATTATACAAAGTGAGAGGCAAAGGTCATTAAAAGTTATTTATTGCTCATTACTTCAGAAAACAAGGTAATAAATTAATATTTATCGCAATACTGACACAAAACTTTTACTGACGTTCAAGGAATGTTAGTTATGCAATCCTCCATTTCTATGTAACGGCCAACTCTTTATTGGCAAGATACATACAACATACAACATGCTTTATTGGTATCGTGCTAGGTTTATTGCGTTCATTAACAGCCGCTCGAGCCTTATAGTGGTACGAACGAACGACCTTGAGAATTATCTGCTTGCTAGCCAAACCAAGCTACACAAAACATAAGAGAACGTAAAGAACAGTGGCAACAAGTAACAATTGCAAGATACTTTTGATTTATTAAGGGTTAAAAGTGATTTAATAGGTTCAATAAAACGATATTGGTTTTAAAATTACCTTGAGATAAACTAAAAGTTGTTTTAAATGCCACCTATTCTCATGCAAATAATTCAAT